AAAACGATACGTTGTATGTGCCCAAGGATAGGCTCCTGAAGACAATGGACAAGAACTCCTGTTTTAGATGTCGAGGTGCATCGTCATGAAGAAAGATGGTATAATCTGCCAGACTATTGACCGGACCACTCCGGGCTAAACCACTGAGTAGATGTTGAAGGTATGCTGTACACTCCCCTGTCATCCATCCGGCAGGATCTGTCAGTGGCACCTCCACGACTTGGGCGACTCGCCCAACAATGCCTGTGCTACTCACAGGAACATCAAGGTGAGTGCAATTTCTGCTCGAGTAATCCCACCCAATTGCGGCCACGATCCCTCGAGTTGCTTTTGTAGGTCCTCTGCCTTAACATCGCACTTGCTGTAGATGAAGACACGAGCCTGCACAAACTCCGGCGAGGCCCAGGTGGCAACAAGGGAGGGCACACAAACACGTGCGTGTCCTGGGAAGGCAGCGGCAAAGACCACAACCACCGCAGTGTTGTGCCACAACGAGCAATTACCTGGGAAGTCAGGCGCAGTCAAGAAGAGCAGGAATGGACAAGCTCACTTGGGCTGTCTCCAAACCGCGATGCCACATCCACAGAGGGTTGCTGTCCAGTTGAAACCCTGGAGTTGGCATCCTCAGCACGTCGCTGACCCTCAAGAACAGGCCACATGGAGATCAGCGTGTCATACTCTTCTCCTTGGCTGCAAAGCGGGCAATTATCTCTGGACCATGAGCCAGTGAGCCCTAACCACACACAAACACACCAAGCGTCGGCTCGAAGTGAACCTTGGCTGGTGGAGCAGCAGCTGGCAGCAGCAGGCAGCAGCAGTCTTCCGAGCTGCGGGGGAAGCTTGACGGCTCGTGGGCGAACGATGCGGTCGGAATTGGCTGCTAGCTGCTAGATCAGTGAACAGCCAGATCTCCCATGTACTTGAAGCACAGTGCACCGCGCCCACCATCACTCTCTTCCACATGTTTTGGTGAACGGCGGTCGGTAGAGCAGATCGCACAACTCCAGAGTAGCACGACAAATTACGGAGGCACTCACGTCCTCCTTGAAGCTGACACACTGGCCAGGCGTAGTCGCACGAGAAAACAAGCAGTCGCACCGAGACAAGTCTCGTCTTCACACCACTAGCCCTAAAATCGTTAGTATTGAATACACCGAGCAACACACAACTTACCCACGGGACACACCTTCAGTTTTGCTCAACAAGTGCGCACACAGGTCCCAACAACACCAGGGAGTAAGTACCCTCAGATCTCACTTGGATCGACAATTGCGTTCACCGTGCTGGTTTGAGCGAAAACTTTCGCAACACGGCAATCAGCATATTTGCGTCAAACAAGCCAGCGTGTACAGAATTTCGGGGCTGCCCTTCAGACTATTCTAAGTTAACAAAGAACTTCCTTGCTTTCAGCAAAGCACGCCCAAAGCGGGCACATACTCCAGCAAAACTCGCACACGTTATCAAAAACCTTGGCTTTCGTGCGTCCTCGCCACAGAAACTGCAAGTAGCCTTTCGCCTCTTGCAAAGGATTGCGGTCACTCGGCGGCGTCGAGAACAACATCGCTTCTGCGGCCAACAAAAGTCCAGTGATCACCATACCCGGACAAAGCTCGAAAGCACCATGCATTTCCTCGGCTGCGCACGTCATGTTTGCAAGTCGCACGATGATGGAACATCATCCGCCCAATCAACCCCAAGACGAACTTCTCAAAGCTAGACAACACGGGTTAAAACCAGGCTACTCTCGCAGGCACACACTGCAATGCGACAGCATTTCGGGAAGATGTTCAATTTTGGTAGATGCTGCTTCCTGCTCTTGCAAGGTTGGCCCAGCAGCCGCCATGCCAAAACTGCTGCAGGCTGGACTCAAAGACTGACTGCACAGCCAGGCAATTTGCACGAAGCTATTTTGCGATTGACACTCATGGCTACGTTGGCCGTTCCAGAAATGCCTCTGCCACTGAACTTTTGATACAAGTCTCCTCGGGTGGCATAGACATGATGAAAGCAGCCTCCTCCAATGGTGGTGCTGTGCTTCTGCCCTGCACGAGAGCAAGCAATCAATGACTCGGACTCAGTGTTCTGCAACTTGTCACCAAGTTAAGTGGATTGCATGCACGTCATGCAAGTTCGTGGCCTCATAAAAATCCCAGGACTTTCGCTGAAAGTCGAAAGCCAGGATTTCGGACTCGTGGCAGTTGTCTTCGCCGCAAAGTTCGAACTTCAGTCTCGAAGTCCAGTGGCAGCCCTGGAGGACAGGCTGCGACATGCACTGCGCACTTCCTCGGTCGCTCCTGTCATGACCTGCCCTATGCCGTTGGGCTCAACTCTTGCCCTCGTAACCATTGGTCTTCGGAATGCCTCCTTCGTGTCTAAACCAAGTCTGGTGCCTTCTCCGACTCTCGCCGATCTGCTTGCGGGACAGCCTATGCAAACTCCAAGATGCCAAAGCAACAAAAGCTCTCAGGATCTCTCAGGCCAAGAGAACTGGCCTCAGAGGTGGACATGTCCGGCCTGATCACAATGCGTCGCCCAGTCTGCTGACTGAAAGTTTCGCTTCAGCGTGACGGACAAGACTCGCATGAGCAGATAAGCCAAAGACACGTGCAGCTCTGGGTCGAATAGTGGCGATTCCCTGGGCACGCAACTGACCTGGCGGCATTGACAAGGCTTCCCGTAGATAAAGTAAAGATTCTGTTGACGCGGGCCTTCCAGTGCAATCCAATCCATGCGAGTAGGCTTCTGGCGAAGCAACGCATGGCTATCTTTATTTCCGTGGTGCCGATCTAAGCTTTTCCATCTTTTCCATGAGCGGAACGTATGCCATGTTCTCTGAAATTCCACAATGCTGCAAAGCCGAGGGAGCACTGCACAAATGCAAGAAAGACTTCTGACCTCGGCAGTTGAACCCTGGAATATAGGCGGTCTTTCCATTACAGAGGGTTCCACGTTGAAGGAAAGCAAGCCCAAGCAAAACGCTGCGACTTGACGAGAGGCGCGCTTTTTGCACAAGCCTAGTTTCCACCAGCATGAGGGCTCAAAGTGTCAGCGTCGATCCTGCGAAACGGAGGTGGCACTTCGCATCTCGTGCAACTGCTAACACAACATTCAAGTATAGACGATTATATACACGACCGTAACTTATCCACTCGCAGATAACAAGGCAGAGGATCCACGGCCTCGAGCACCATTCTCTACGTCCTGCATGCGACGAGATACGATCTCCAAAGCACTGCCAGTTAGCTGCAAGCGTCAGACAGGGTCTTGGCCTCGCATAACACTCGACTCCTTCACTTACGCCGGATCTCGACCCCAGTGCTTGCGAAATCCGCACCTCGCTGTGACCCAGAACGATGGGGACCGGCATCTGGTCGGACTTAGTGAGACAAGCTGGTGGAGTTGCATTCGGAGACAGTCTCGTCCGCTCTGAAATATTTCTGCTTGCAGTTTGCCGGCAAATCTATAACATTTTGTGCCTTCAGGTAAGGAAAGAACACGCAGGCCTTCAGGAACCCAACCCGCAGAGCCGTCGTGATGCCGGTCTTTGTCGCAACCATAGCAGGAACAAGCGGACTGCGACAACATGGGGCAGGGATGCGTGGGGACCCGTGAGGACGCGTGGGGACACGGTAAGAGTGTTTGTTTTTTGTTGCTGTCGTTGTTTTTTGCTGTCGTTGCAGGGCGCGTTTTTTTTGCTGTCGTTGCGGGGGCGCGTTTTTGTTTTTAGCCGTCATCCCCGCGGGGCGCATTTTTTTTTTTGTCCGCTCTGTTGGCGGGTGCGCGTTTGCTTTTTTGCTGTCATTGCGCTCCCATGCGCTCCCCGGGTGCTTGTTCTTTATTATTACTACTACTACTACTACTACTACTACTACTACTACTACTACTACTTCTACTAATACGTTGCGGGGGCGCGTTGTTTTTCTTGCTGTCGTTGCGGGCACCGGGGTTACTCACTGGCTTCCTGGGTCCGCGCAACGAGAACCAAAAAAACATAAGGGAAACTACAACAAAAAAAACTGCTTCCGTGGGGACACATAGAGACCCTGCCGATCGAGAGCAGTGATCAAGACTTCATACATATGATTGTGCGAAGTTCAACCTGCACACAAATTCGCCAATTGCTTTGGCACTGAGGTTGCGCGAACAAAAACTTCCAACTTCCCATCCTTCGAAGCAGATTGCAGTGAGTTCACAGGGTCTTGCTCTACACTGACAGCTACATGTTGCAAGCCTCGAGAGGTTGTAGCATGGAAACAATTAACTTGCAAATGACTTCGAACGTCAACCCGGCATGCTCCTCGACTTTCAAGATAATGATTTCTACAGAGCCTGGGATCTGCACCGTTGCAAAGAATTAGCTTGCATGCTCATGGTTTTTGTTGAGCCAGGAGCCAACAACCCGAGATATTCCGGGAGATAATTGACTTGCGAATTAAGGGTTTCTGCACGGCATCGAGCCTTGACTGCTTCGTGATCTGCACAGGGTTCTTTTTCACTCAAGCATGAATCGGAGCTGGATTGATCACCTGGGTTCGCTAATAAGAAGATTACTCCTTACTACCACTGATAAAAACATACTAGTAAACCAGTCCAAAAAAGAAGATTTACTGGCATTAACAAGAGGAGTACCCGTACTAATAAGAGGAGTACCAGTACTGAGCACGACTTAAAGGATACTAGTTCTAACAGACAAGACGTAAACCCTGAAATTGCGGCAAGCAGAACGATGGAAACAAACCAAACTTGCAGTGGCTTCACAAAAGCGTTCACACATGTGGAAAAAGTCTAAGATACATGGCAAGACGGTTCCCGCGATGCTCCCAAGCTGTGCAGGAAGGCGCAAGGGAGGAAGGAAGACGAATACGAATACTAAGAAGAGGAATACTAGGACCAATAATCGGAATCCGAGTACTACCAAGAGGGGCCAGCCCCGTAAGCACGTGTGCACTCGTATGTCACATCATTCTCCCGGTGCACTTTGACGACAGACATTTCCATTCCTACACTACGCATACCAAGCTGGGCAACTGACATGGACAGCCTTCACTGAGCAACTGCATTGACGCAGACGCAGATGTTCGCACACTGTTGCACGCCACTGAGAGCTCGGCCCGTGCTTCTGGTGAAGCCATCATCAAGCTCGCCGATTCATCTGCCTGGTGGTCCATACTGCGCTGTGAACATCTGCGACATACTGCAAGGTCCCAACCGTCGGCTTCCAGCGAGCGTTAGCAGTGGAAGCGCCAGCTGGCCGCAAACTCGGGACATTGTCCAAACCTCAAGCTCACAGAGACGCAACATGCGAGTTATAAATATGGCGAGGCAGCCCCTGGCACACACACACACACATGTATATATATGGGCGCACCCCTATTTGGGGTCCCCTACGTTTTTCGCTACATCATCTGACTGAGCTCTAACCACCAGACTAGGTTATAACCAGCCGATTAGGTTATAACCAGCCGACTAGGTTATAACCAGTCGACTAATTTATAATCAGGTATACATTATCGAATATAGTATTATGCTTGTATGGAGCAGCTCGATGGCAATGGTGTACGCCATCGACTACAGTATTATATCCGGTTTGAAGACTAACCCGGGAAGTTGCAACAACCCATGCTTTCAGAATGCTGAAGCCCGCACAACGCTAAGAATTCTATGACACCCTCGTCGAAACCCCGTTACAATGTGCTAAAATCCTTGCCTTGAAGCCGTCGATATATCTTCGTAGTTCATCTTTGTGTGACTGTATCTAAACCGCTGTATTTCAGTTTTTTCCAACAAGCGCGCTGTAGTCATTAGTCTGGCTCAGTCATTCCTTATCGCGAACTAGATTTTGGAACGAAAAGCTTTCCATCTTTGTACTGTAATGCCACAATCCCATCAAAGTCTCTGTTGTTGGACGCATTGCTATCACGTTTTGGCAAACTGATAGCTTTCAATGACATATCCCTGTGCCCCTATGTGATTGCTTTTCAACACTGGTATATCCGGTAGGTATATTTGAGTGGTGCATTCCTTAATTCTGTATGACGGCTGCCCCAAGCCAACATTGAAGACTTGCACACTACAAGCTTAGCAAACGTTGTACAGTGTTTTTCCTGGGGGACGACATGAAGCGTCGCTTCTTAGGCTTGGCACTGTTTCTATATGCTGAGTGATGACCGACTGAAAACCAGAAGGCTACATCTAGCTTGTCCGAATTTCTGTTTGTGTTCTTGTGAATATTGACTGAAGGTCGAATAGAAGCCATGGTTCCCAGTCCAGAACTTGATCCTCGTGTTCGAAAAAGTGGTAAACACACACCGAATCACTCCTCGAAAGAGGTTCATCCATGTAGTTGGAAGTAGCATTGCTAGGAATTTTCTACGTACCGAGCGAGGAAATTTAACAGTTTGCAAGTTGCAAATTTTGTTTCGCTCACCACACATATTCTTATCAGTTTTGTCTCATCGAAATCCTGCTTCCTTGGAACGGTCTTTGAACATAGCGTTGCAACCAGTTCGCCTATGTACGAAGTGATGAAACCTGACCACGCTGTAAACTTAGAAATACTGTCTCTCCCTACAATGACGTCATATCAGTCGTATCTCAACTTTCTGTGTACCGTGATTTTCCAATGTTGACAACACTTACTGACCTACTGTAATCCCGATAGAGCCCCTTCATATTCCGCATTTTGATTCCTGGGTCAGTGACATGTTAGTGGCTATTCTCTCAATGTGTACATAGATCTCATAAACCCGATGTACTGGAACGGACAGACCATTATGTAAAGTCCGCCATATAGCCTTTCCGCTAAAGTTGGGGAATGCGCATATGGTCCCCGGAATTTTGTCTGTTACAAAGCACTGCATCATGCCTCAACAACCGAATACATTCCAATTACCTCGGACCCTCTATTCTTCTAGTCCTTGTTTAATTTCATTGCGGTTACATTCCCCCTGAAACACCGAAACTTTCGAACGTTTGGATCTAGGTGTTGATGAAGTAGCGGTGGCACAGATTTGCTTCGTAAGGTTTATAGTGTGCAACAAACAATCAAGGCACCCCAATTTACAAACCACAACCCTGGTATGTAAGCCCCCCGGTGTTTCGACACAGTTTACCAATATTGCAGGTTCACCATCAAGTGTTGGGTTTGTTTGGGTTTTACTGCTTAGGGTTTGGCGCTAGGGTTTGGGGGAGACTTAAACTTAAACTATTATACCGGCTCGCTTGCGCGATACGACACGGAAGACTTAAACCATCAAACCAATAAGCCAATCCATTTGGTCTATAGGGCACGGCGGGAGTCTTCAAACCCTGAACGTATTTTGCCGCCTGGTTATAACCTCTGTCCCCGGTTATAACCAGGACACCTGCGTAGTAGGCAGCTCTAGACCCAACACTAAACCATTAAACCATTAACAAACCATTAAATTAGTACACCGTTAAACCAATCCTTTCCCCCAAAGGACCCAAACCAATAAACCATTAAACCATTAAACCAATCCTTTTGCCCCATGCCACTAAACCATCAAACCATTAAACATATCCCTTTACCCCATACCACTAAACCACTAAACCACTAAACCATTAAACCATTAAACCAATCCTTTCCCCCAATGCACCTAAACCACTAAACCATTAAACCATTAAACCGTTAAACCATTAAACCATTCCTTTTGCTCCATACCACTAAACCACTAAACCATTAAACCATTAAACCAATCCGTTTGCTCCATACCACTAAACCACTAAACCATTAAACCATTAAACCAATCCGTTTGCTCCATACCACTATACCACTAAACCATTAAACCATTAAACCAATGCTTTCGGCCCATACAGGGATGTGTCTCTCTCTATAGGGGAAAATGATTGGTTTAATGGTTTAATGGTTTAATGGTTTAGTGGTTTGGGTCCATTGGGGGAAATGATTGGTTTAATGGTTTAATGGTTTATTGGTTTGGGTCCATTGGGGGAAAGGATTGGTTTAATGGTTTATTGGTTTAGTGGCATGGAGCAAAAGGAATGGTTTAATGGTTTAATGGTTTAGTGGTTTGGGTGTGCAAAAACCCAGGGGACCCCATATAGGGGGGTACCCATATATATATATGTAGATTATATAGGCAACGAGGACCGACATAGACTAGCAAAGACAACTTCAAGTCATCGTCATGGCTCAACTTTCGGCAGCCGTGCATGCATGAAAACTGAACGCACACTTAGGCAAAAAGAAGACTACGACTTTGTCCACTTGCTTTGCCGGCACAAGGTTCCATGTCTCCAGACTCATCCTATGGCGTCGCTAGCTTCGTTGGCCAACGGCACATCACGATGTGCTGGCCCCCTGCATTCTGCTGTACACGATTCTTGGCAAACTGTGGCAAAAGCTTCCCCGCACACTGCTGCGAAGTGTCCCAAGCTGCAGTAAAAAACAATTGCTTATCGCTGTGTGCAAACGCAAGCACAAACACACTCGCATTTGGAATGACCCTCGATATGGCCGAGGTCATAACATGGATTAACAAACTACTCTCACTTGTCACTTTGCATTCGTGCGCTCTGATTTCTTCACACAGAGTTCTTGCCTTCTTGCAGGTACGTCAGCCCAGCATCCCAGGTTGATATCACAATGCTGAAGGAGTGTCTTCGTTGAGTGGTGGCTCCAACAGCATGCGCCACTCCCCTGCTGTTTTTGCTCAATCAACACACGAGAGGTCCCTTAGTTTCAGGGTGGTACACACACACATTTGCCCCTGCGAAGGGGTAACCATCATTCGGATACAAGCAATTGTCATCTTCGTGGAGATCCGCGTTCGCAGCTGTGTTTTGGAGGCTTTCAGCATCTCAAAAACTTCTTCTGAATTCTTGAAATTGTGTGTGCGGGATAACCTCTGTTGAGATACTGTGTGCACACTGACTGGACATCTTGCTCCCTTTGAAACTGCGGGTGGGAGCATCGCGATGCCAGGCAAACTCCGCTGTTAACTGCAGCCGTCACCTCCTGCAGAATTCACCGGTTCAAGCTGATGCTGCTCTTTCGGGATGATGAAGCAAGACGTCGCTCAGCTGGACGCAACACCGTACAGAAACTCGACAAGATTCTCGTACAAGTGAAGCTAAGCAGTTTTAAGAGCCACGTACAATGCTGGATCTGCTCCGAATACACCACCAACCGATTGTCAACGTATTGGCAGTTGAAAAGCTGATCAAGACAATGGCGAAGTGAGTGTTGCTGTGCTTCCCTGCATTGTTGCTCCACGAAACTGACAGCGATATCTGCTAAAAACGGTGAGATTTGATTCCCGACTGCTGGAACACCTGCTGCATTTGAACGAAGAGTGGCGTTTGCAGAGATACTGAACACAGCTTGAACATGTCTTTGAGCTAGATGTGAAAAGCCCGCCTTCGAGTGCTTGTTTTGATCCTCCGAAGATTCGAAGCTTCACATCTTTTTCTACTAGGAAACACTGATAAGACCGCGTTGTCATCATTCTGATGCAAGCTTTCGTAACGTTCAATCATCCATCGTATGGCAGCAAATGGAGGTAAACAAACCAATTGGACTGCAACAATTGAAGTTCAAGGTGTGTGTGTGTGTGTGTGTCGGGGGGAAGGAATCCTGAAGAACAGCAAACACGTCGGGCATGGTCTCATTGCCAAATGAATTCGGAAAAAAACGTCCTTCATCATCTCCATCAGCACAAAGGCCGTGCAACGAAACAATCTGGCAAACGGAAAGGATTTGTAGCTGATCATGCGGGCGGGCACCGAGGATTTTCTTTGGCTTTGCTCAGATTCTATCAGCATGTACGAAGTGGGAACCTGTGCATGTGGTCGAATCCCCCAGTCGTATTTCTTCTGCCATTTGCTTTCTGCAATGTGAGCAAGATGACGTTGTGCCTCACCGGGGGCCTGTAGCACTTGTTGTAAACTTCGGGGTCGCCACACGTTGCTTTGAGAACATGTAGTACTAGGGGGGTTTAACACACATCAGAGCGCAGAAATATGCATCACCCCTATGTAGACGCTGATTTCAGGGAATTACACATCAGTGCCGGAAATGCACATCACACCAACCTTAATCCCGAAGGTGACGCTAGATTTTGTTGGTCGCGAACGCCAGTGTTCTCGGCAAGGACTGCTGCCATTTTGATGCGACTTTGATGCGTTTTAATAGCGAATCACGAAAGTGACGCTGGTTTCTGTTGCACTACTGCAGCTGCTGCCCAGGCCGGGCCCCGATTGCTTAACCCCATGTAGACGCTCAATTCCACAAGCACCTG